GGGACCCTCGCCAGTGGCCGGGGATCAAACCGGCGCTGCAGAGGCTGCGGGCAGCTTCACAGCCCAGCGCTCACTGCTGCGCCACCGGGGAGGCCCAATAAATAAATCTTTAAAAAAAAAATTGACAAAGGTGTCTTGATAGTCATTACAAATCCCTTTTAACTATGTAGGAGTTCACATTAATGTGGTAATGTTATATGGACTTTTGGAAGTGCCTAAGAATGGAGGCTGGTTGCTAGGGTAGCCAACCATGTGACTAGAGGTTTGAAACTTTCAGTCTTACCTAACCTGACCTCTGGGAAGGAAGAGGGGCTGGAGGTAGAATTAAATGCCACCGACCAACGGTTTAATCAATCATGCCTATATAACGAAGCCTCTGAAAAAGGCAAAAAGTGTAGCACTTGAGCTCTAGGGCTGGAACACATGTAGGTGCTGAAACAGTAGTGCACCTGAAGAGGGCATGGAAGTTCCAGGCCCCTTTCCACTTATCTTGCCCTATATGTCTCTCCCATCTAGTTGCTCCTGAGTTATACCCTTTCATAATAAACTGGTAATCTAGTGATAAAACTGGTTTCCCTAGTTCTGTGAGCTGTTTTAGCAACTTAGTCAAACTTAAGGAGGTCATGGAAACTCCTGATTTATAGCCAGTTGGTCAGGTTAAAAACTAGACTTGCAATTGGAATCTGAAGTAGGGACAGTTTTGTGGGACTGAGCTCTAAACCTGGAACCTGACACTATCTCTATATAACTAGTACTAGAATTGAGCTGAGTTACAGGACCCCTTGCTGGTATTGGAGAATTGCTTGGTATGGGGAAAAGAACCCACATGTTAGAACTGGTGTCAGAATTGTACTATAAAGCTTTATTTTATTTCCACCCTAGAAATCAGAGAGAATTTCAAATCAGGAGTTTTTCTCACCTCTCTAATATGTGTGGCCATCACCCCATTATCTCTGAAGCAGATGATACTACAATGAACTTGATCTTCCACTTTTATTTCTTCTGTACCCTCAGTCTACCTCAAACCACTGACCAGGAGCAGGCTTCTAATTCCTCAAAGGCAAGGCTCCCTCTAGTCCTAGAAACTGAAAACACAACTCTGGGAGCAATTTAAAGAGCATATATTTTAAGATAGATCAATTTGCTATAACAAAAAACACATATACTTTGAAATCATAAAGACCTGACTTCAAATCTTTCCTCATTCTTTAGAGGCTGTATACACTGGCCGAGTCATCTGACCTGAATTAAACTACCTAATTTCTTTACTATAAAAGAAGAGTGCTATTTTTAATTAACAAAGTACTTAGCATGGGGCCTCCCCCGTGGCACAGCCGTTGAGCACTGGGTTGCGAAGCTGCCCGCGGCCTCTGCGGCGCCGGTTCGATCCCTGGCTGCTCCCCGGCCACCAGAGGAGGGTCCCACATGGCGCGCAGACCTCTCCTGCCGCCCGCTGCTCCCCTCAGCAGTGTACTTCGCTCCTTCTGCCTGCTCTGCTCCCCGCTCTGGCTCTGGTGAATTCTCTCACCCTCCCGCGCTTCTGACTGTACCCAGTGCATGTATAAACAAAACAAACAAACAAACAAAGAAATAAATAAAACATGCCTCTATTAAAAAAAAAAAAAAAGTTAAAAAAAAAAAAAACAAAAAACAAAGTACTTAGCATGTACTTGCCTAACAGTAATTAGCTCTAATAATTACTGTTACTAATAATAGTAGCAAAACATTCATTAATACATTGGCATTTGTTTATAATTTATCTCACTTTGATCTTCTATTACCAGCAATGTGGAATATAACCTAAATATCTGCTTATAGCATAACACCTAGAAAACCTGTATCATATGTTTGTAAGCTTGATGAAGTATAAGAAACATTTCATATTACACAACAAAGATAGGCAGAATTTAAAATTTTAAGAAAGAAAAAGTAATGTTTAGTGATTAAAAATGAAGAGGAAACTAAGACTCAGGAGCTCTCAAACAGAGTTGATGGGGAAGTGTTCTGGGAAAGTTTTCTGGTCTGAGCAATCAAAGGTTTGCTTTTTATAGCCACTGAGATGGGAGATGAAGTTTGGGTCCTTATGAGGCGACAGCTGGAACTCAAATTCTCCTGCATAATGCTGGAATCTTGGAAGAGTTATATTATCAGGTAGAAAATAATTTTGACTCAAAAGGACAAAGAGGTAACAAGAAGCTTAAGTTAAAAAAGAAAGTTTCCCTCAGAATTTAAAACATTGGCCTGTGTGAAGTCTGAATGTATTCTAGTTGCATGCAGTTTATACTAGCAGTGTGGTCCTAGAATCTCCAGCACAAACATTAATTTAAAACATAGTTCCAAGCTGACAATATTCCTTAGTGTTTAGTAGAAACAAAGACAATCTTATCTCCCTTTGTAGGAATATTAATTATCTTAGTTGATGCTTACAAATGTCCTATAAAATATATATACTACTATCCCAGTATATGAAAGAATTTAAATTTAGGGATGTTGAGGAACTTGTCCAAAGTCATTACCTGACAGAGTTGGGATTTTTTATATTTATATTTTTATTATATATTTATACTCCCTACAAGCAGCGACAAGGTATATTCCCTTTTCAGATGTGTTACACTGCCTAATCTTCTTTGTGTAAATCAATAGATAAATGCAACTGTTTTTTTTCTTTTTCAAGCTCAACAACTCAGTAAGAATGAAGGCAGCCAAGATCACAGGAAACCCACAGGAGTCCTTGGGTTCTGTCAGCCAAAGCAGCTCAAGTCCCTTCTGGCAAAGGAACTTTGCTGGAACACTTTAAAGTGAAAAAGGGAAAAGCAAGAAACTCTGAAGTAATGTAGCATGGGGGTACTGCTCCATTATTGAAGTTGATTTTATTGGAATACATAATCAAAGTTCAAACAAAATATATTTACTATTATTATAAGGATAATAAAGCTCTTCTGAGAAACAAACATTAACTTGAAAGTGATGACAGCAATAGTCATATCAGGCTCAACCTCTAATATATTTCTGAATGTTATTGGGTTGCATAGCATTGAGAAAATCCTGATTTACAAACATATGTTGTTGCAGATAATAGCAATTTTTTAAAAATTAACATGCATTCTCAGAAGTTTAAGTTAACACATTGATCATCTTAAGTGTATGCATGCTTTATAAAAAATAGTTTTAGGGGCCTTCCTGGTGGCACAGGGTTAAAGTCTCAGTGCTGTCAAACTATTGCCAGCCACTGAAGCATGAGTTTGATCCCTGGCCAGGGAGCTAACCCACATGGTTCAGCAGACCTCTCCTGTCTTGCCCCCTGCTCCCCTCAGCAGTGTATTTCAGTAGATGTGCCTGTTGTGCTCCCCACTCTGTCTCTGGTGAATCCTCTCACCCCCCACACCTCTGGCCTATACCCCAGTTCTTATATGCATAAATAAATAAAACAAATCTTTAAAAAAGAAAAATAGTTCTAAATTTTTAAACCAAATCAAACACTGTAAAGAATCACTGAAATATTATCTTAGTGTTCTTATAGAACAAATAATTCTCTGAGGGTCCTCCATTCTCAATCTAGGGTGTTGTACAGAATACACAGCAAAGTACAAAATTATAGGCATAACTGGCACATTCTCTCTCTCTCTCTCTTTTTTTTTTATAGAGGCATGTTTTTATTTATTTATTTGTTTGTTTGTTTGTTTACACATGCACTGGGCACGGTCAGAATCACGGGAGGGTGAGAGAATTCACCAGAGCCAGAGCGGGGAGCAGAGCAGGCAGAAGGACCGAAGTACACTGCTGAGGGGAGCAGCGGGCGGCAGGAGAGGTCTGCGCGCCATGTGGGACCCTCCTCCGGTGGCCGGGGAGCAGCCGGGGATCGAACCGGCGCCGCAGAGGCCGCAGGCAGCCTCGCAACCCAGCGCTCAACCACTGCGCCACTGGGGAGGCAGATAACTGGCACATTCTACTCACTGCCAAGGGCCTCCTTCTGGTACAAAACTCTCTACCCCTCCCACCTCTAATCCTGCAACCAAGACCATTAGTAATCTACTTTTCAAGTTTCATTTTCTACTTTTCCCTGTTTCTAGTCTTTACTCCAGCTAATCTCAAGTGCTGACTGATTCTTACCATACCTTCCTACCACTATGTGTTTGTTCACAATTATCATCGTTATCATGAACTTATGTTCTTTATATTTTTGAAGCTCATAACCTGCTAATCACCGTGCTAGACAACGTACAATTTCTCATTTGCTCCCATTATCATACATTCTACCCATCTTCATTTATTTGCAAAAATAACCTTATTCAGTGCTTACATGTGCCAGACAGACTACACTGAATGTCTTATAGTAGCTCATTTAACGCTTTCAACAGTTCTATTAAACAGGGTAATATTGCTGTCCTCATTTTATACATGAGAACACAAGCTCTGAAAGGTTAAAAAACTTGCCTAAGGTGAAGTAAGGAAAGGAATGCTTTCCAGAAAAGTGCTGTTGGAGCTCAGAGCTGAGTCCTTAAAGAATGAGGTGAGGTCGTCAGGGGATAACGACATTGTGAACAGAGGGACAATGTACACCAACGCAGGGAAATAGGAAACAAGTTGGTATGCAGTTTAAAATCAGGTCTGAGTTCAAATATCTGCTTTTTTTGTGGTCTCTTACTGTGACTATGGCTTTATTATCTGTGAAATAGAATAATAAGCTACATGCTGTAGATCTGCTGTAAGACTAACATGAAATATGGTATATGAAAGTGACCAATAAGGACCAGGTCCACGATAGGTATGCAATAAATAAATGTTACCTCCTTCCTTCCCCTTGTTGGGAATTCAATAATCCCTAGTCTCAAGAATGTCATGACCATATCCACTGGACCCCAGGCATATCTTCCTTCCCCAAGTTTCCAAGCTTTATTAGGGCTTTTGGAGACATAGTTATCAAAAGTCATTCAGCAAGTTATCTGGTAATATCCTTACCCACCATTTCTCAAAGTGAGAATCATTCTCATACCACTCACCCGTGTAGGCCATGTTCTTAGGGTTGCCATAAGGAGCCCCAGGCTGGACGGGGCTGTAAACAGGGTTCATTGTGGAAGACTGCGGATCCTATAAAGAAAACAGAAATAGCACTGATTACTGATTGCTCATTCTCTTTTGACTATATGTTGTTTCCCCTCTACAACCTTTAGTTTGTGCTTACAGTGAAGCAACAAAATACAGTAGAAAGACTAATCCAAAAGCCATTTGTTACTGTACTTGGAGCCTTGCTAAACACTTTACATTTTACAGATGGCAATTCTGAGAAGCAGAGAGGTAAGAACAATTTGTCTAGGGGCCTCCCCGGTGGTGCAGCGGTTGAGCGCTGGGTTGCGAAGCTGCCTGCAGCCTCCGCGGCGCCGGTTCGATCCCCGGCTGCTCCCCGGCCACCTGAGGAGGGTCCCACATGACGCGCAGACCTCTCCTGCCACCCGCTGCTCCCCTCCCTTCTGCCTGCTCTGCTCCCCGCTCTGGCTCTGGTGAATTCTCTCACCCTCCCGCGCTTCTGACTGTACCCAGTGCATGTATAAACAAAACAAACAAACAAATAAATAAAAATAAAATAAATGCCTCTATTAAAAAAAAAAGATATTTAAAAAAAAAAAAGAACAATTTGTCTAGTGTCATCCCAGGCATTTGGCTCTTAGTTCAGTACCAGTCCCACTATCCCACATATGACTCTGCCTCTAATAAACTGTTTAGCACTGGCCAAGTCACTTCTCCCCTCTGGACTTCAATGGCCTGATATAAAATGAATAAATTTAGCTTTCTGAGGTCCCTTCTAATTCTAATAATGCTACTCTAGTTGCTGAGAAATGATACACTTTTACTAGGGAGGCTGGGTGCCTGGTGATAAGCACAAACTGGAGGAAAGAAGAGCAGCCAAGTCTCCCATCCACCCCCTTGTAATTGCAGAGGACAAGATACCAAGTAGTAGCAGCTTTAGAAAAAATGAGATTTTATTTTCACTGATCATTTTAATGTAGACAAGGAAATACAGCCAAGAGCTCCTTCAAAATTTATTCAAGGAAAGAAACTTGGAACTTTGTGTGCAATAAATATCACCTGCTTAAGTGTTCTGTTAATTATCTTTTTTTTTTTTTTTTTTTTTGTTTAAAGATTTATTTATTTATACAAGCACTGGGTACAGTCAGAAGCGCGGGAGGGTGAGAGAATTCACCAGAGCCAGAGCGGGGAGCAGAGCAGGCAGAAGGACCAAAGTACACTGCTGAGGGGAGCAGCGGGCGGCAGGAGAGGTCTGCGCGCCATGCGGGACCCTTCTCCGGTGGCGGGGGAGCAGCTGGGGATCGAACCGGCGCTGCGGAGGCTGCGGGCAGCTTCGCAACCCAGCGCTCAACCGCTGTGCCACCGGGGAGGCCCCCTGTTAATTATCTTAATGAAGCACATTCTCCATTCTGATTAATGGAATATCTGTCATTAAGTTCCATTAACCAGTCAATTTGTCCCACCTTGTTAGAGGAACCATTTCTAACACATAGGCTTACACATGTTTGAAAATGTGTCTCCAAATATATTTTTTACACTTCATAAAAATCAAACAATCAAACAATTCCCTCCTAACTAGGTGCACACAATAGATGAGCAATTTTTTAGGTCATTAACTTCTCCTGTAGTACCTCGGGATAGGAAACAAGTTAAATGCTGAAGACAGGCAGTTAACAGCTGGCTTGATGACAACTACTCAGCAGTTAATGACTCTGTCCAGGGCTCTTGAATGAGACCTATAGAAACCAGTGCCTAAGGAGAGGAAGTAGCAGGGGAGAGTAAGGAGGAGTGTCAGTAAGTCAGGCAAAAAAGGAAAATGCCACTGCTCGTTTTTTTTTTAATAGAGGTATGTTTTATTTATTTATTTGTTTGTTTGTTTTGTTTATACATGCACTGGGTACAGTCAGAAGTGCGGGAGGGTGAGAGAATTCACCAGAGCCAGAGCGGGGAGCAGAGCTGGCAGAAGGACCGAAGTACACTGCTGAGGGGAGCAGCGGGCGGCAGGAGGGGTCTGCGCGCCATGTGGGACCCTCCTCCGGTGGCCGGGGAGCAGCCGGAGATCGAACCGGCGCCGCAGAGGCCGCAGGCAGCTTCGCAACCCAGCGCTCAACCGCTGCGCCACCGGGGAGGCCCCACTGCTCAATTTCATATAGAACTTCCTGAGATGCACCCAATATACAGTCCTGGGAAATCATCCTAGGGCAGCAGGCTATATTAAACTACTATTAGTTGACAAACTGAAGCTACAACATCTTGAAGATGAAAGTTACAGGAAATGTGTATGACAAGCCAATTTAAGGAAGAAATATTCTGTCAGTAATCCAAGAATACAGCCAAGTAACACTCTCTAAATATAAGCGCTCTCCCGACAAGGCACTAAGATCAAAGATGTTAAAATAAATTGCAAACTGTAAAGGGCCACACCAATATAAATGATGATGGTGATAATGTGATAACAACAACACAGGCCTACAGTACAGCTTTCCTGCCTTGGATCTCTCATCTCTCCAACCAGTTCTCTGCTAAATAAGTCGGGGCAAGGAAGACTGTCAACGTGCTAAAAGCACAACTGGCCTGTAACCCCACGAGCACCCTCCTACTGAGAAGGGACTCTGTGTTGCTGATTAGACAGAATGTAAAATTGCTTTTCACATCCAAAGAAACTCATCAGCTTTGCAATTGGTCTCCTGCTGCTCCAAAATGAGGACCACAGCCTCAAAAGAAGCTCATGCCTGGGCAGCATTCCATAACAGCAGCAATTCCAATCCCAATTAATAATGGACAGAAATGAGATCTATCAGGGGTTCAAAACTTGGGATAAGAATATAACAGCATGAGGGGGTGGGGGGAAGCAAATATTGTTTAAAAATGAACAATGATATAACAAATAAAAAAATAATTAAAAAAAATTCTGGTGAATCCTCTCACCCACCCCTACCCACCCCCCAGCTCTTGTATGCATAAATAAATCTTTATATATATATATATATATATATATATATATATATATATATATATATATATAAAACAGCCACTTCTGGGGAGCTGCTCATAAACATAGTGCTCCAAGGTTTCAAGGGAAGGTCCATATTTTACAACAGAATTCAGAAACTATTAAAATGTCCACCATTTTGCATCAGTACAGGTTGACAAGATGGCCCATAAACTGCAGCTCCTTTAGGTTGGGAGGCTCTGTTTGTTCACTGATCAATCTGCAGCCTTTGTACAGACTAGGAGTCCCAGTGTTGGTTGGAACCCTCTTTGTAAGTTTCAGGGACAGACTGAGTAAGATCATAGCTCTGTGATCAGGCAGTCTTAGGTTCAAATACTGGAACTGACAAATACCAACTGTGAATTAAAGGAATGTCCTATAACCCTTCTAGATTTAAAATGGAAGCTCCTCTAGCTTTAAAATGGAAAATAACACATATTTTGTAGAGTTCTTGTAGGTGTTTTTTTTTTTTTTTTTTTAAAGATTTATTTATTTATTTATATAAGCACTGGGTACAGTCAGAAGTGAAGGAGGGTGAGAGAATTCACCAGAGCCAGAGCGGGGAGCAGAGCAGGCAGAAGGACCGAAGTACACTGCTGAGGGGAGCAGCGGGCGGCAGGAGAGGTCTGTGTGCCATGTGGGACCCTCCTCTGGTGGCCGGGGAGCAGCCGGGGATTGAACCGGTACTGCAGAGGCTGTGGGCAGCTTCGCAACCCAGTGCTCAACCGCTGTGCCACCGGGGAGGCCCATCTTGTAGGTGTTTTTTTAAAGACAGGTTTATTTAAGTACAATTTACATAGAGTGAAACTTAACCCCTTTTAGGAGTACAATTTCATGAGACCTGAAATATGTAAACAGTTGTACAAATACCACAATTAAGATATAAAGTATGTTCGCTGCCCCAGAAAGTCAATACTCTCCCAGCCTCCAGTCTGTGGCAACCATTTATCTGCTTTCTGGTGTCTTGTACACACATGTATTAACATTTCATTTTACAGAGGAAAAAAGTGAGTCTCAGAAAAGGCAAATGAACAGGCCAAGGTAGAAACTCTAGTAAAGGACAAAGTTAACATTAGCACCACAAAAAGGATCAAAGACCTAAATTGAAAGAGCCAAAAATGTAAAATTCTTAGAGGCCAAAAACAAAAGCATAAATCTTTGTGACCTTGGATTTGACAATGGTTTTTTAGATATTCTATGATACCAGCATCACAACCAAAAGGAAAAAAACCAGATTCACCATAACTAAAATTGTGTGTGTTTTAAAAAACATCAAGAAGGTAAAAAGACAATCCATAGAAGGAGAGAAAATTTTTGCATGTCAAATCACAATAAGGAATTTGTATTTTAAAAATATAAAGAATTCTTAGCTCAATAATAAAAGGACAAATTTAAAATTTAAAATGGCCAAAGGATCTGAACATACAGTGCTTCAAAGAAGTTATATAAATGGCGAAGAAGCACATGCAAAGATGCACGTCAAGAGCACAATGAGATACTGCTTCACACACACTAGGATGGCTATAATAAAAAAGACAGATAATCAATAAAAAGTATTGGTAAACTGGAACCCGCATACAATGCTGGAAAGAACGTAAGACGAAAAATGAATTTGCCGTACAACCCAGCAATTCCACTAATTTAAAAGGAAACCTGCACTCCTGCATTTATTACAGCAATATTTACAATAGCCAAGATATGGAAACAAACTAAATGCCCCAAAACAGATGAGTGCATAAAGATGTGGTATATACACACAATGACTACTACTCAGCAATCAAGAAAGATAAACTCATGCCATTTGTGGCAACAAGGATGGAACTGGAAGGGATTATGCTAAGTGAAATAAGCCAGAAGGAGAAAGATAAATATTGAACAGTTTCATTTATATGTGGAAGCAAACAAAGGGGCAAACAAAGACAAATGATAAAACCAATCCTTGAAAATTGAGGAATCCAAGAGGGAAAGGGAGAGAGAAAGGAAGATGGAGAGGAGTGGGGGAGAACCAGGAGGGGGAAGCACAACAGACTATGGTGGAGGACTGTGGGTGTTTAGTGATGAGATATGGTGA